TTGGAACTCCTGCCACCACCTGGCTGCACCCCCGGACCATCCGCCAGCCGGATCTGCCCCCGGCCACCAGGCCAGCACCTGGCTGCCCCGAGCTGTCTCGCTGAGCCACTTCCCCAGCTCCCGCCTTCCTGTGGCCGCCCCCCGGCAGCCGCCCCTGCTAATCTTCACCAACCAGTCACGCGGTCTGGCAGCGTACCAGGGGGCAGCCCTGAATAGCCCCACGCAGGCCCCCAGCCGGCTGCCCCGCCCCACCCGCCCAGCCAGCCCCCAGCTGGACCCTCCCATGGCCGAACGGGCTGAACTGGAGGAGAATGTGGCGCGCGTCCTGCGGGGCCACCCCGGGGGCATCTCCCTCTTCCGCTTCCGCCAGGCCTACGGTGCCGCCTACAGCCACCCCTTCCCCCTGGACAGCACGGCCTCGGTGAAGGAGCAGCTGGCGGCCATGCCGGGGGTTGTCAGGGTGGAGGGCTGGGGGGTGCAGACGATGCTCTTCCCGGTCTGCCCCCAGGAGCTCCCCAGCGAGGAGAATGGTATGTGCTGGGAGTCGGGCGGGGTGGGGGGAGAAGGACCATCCCAGGGATCGAACCTGGGGAGCGAGGGCCTCTGCAGCTTGAGCTATGAGTCCGGGGAGGAGTCCTCGCCTGTGGGTCAGGCTGGGCTTGAGCGGGATGGAGCTACGCAGGGCCAGGGGGCCTGGGCTGCGGGGGGCTCAGCAGGGGGCGCTAGGCTGAAAGGAGTGGGGCAGGGGGCTCAGCAGGGGGCGCCGTGTGGCAGGGAGTAGGGTAGGGCACCTCAGCTGTGTGGCAGGGTGTGGGGTGGAGGGTTCAGCAGAGGGTGCCGTGCTGCAGGGAGTGGAGCGGGGGGCTCAGCAGTGGGTCGGGGGCTCAGTAGGGGGCATGCTCTCCCTCTCTAAACTTCCCAGTCACTGAGTGAATTCCCTTCTCTCGTGTCTGTCTAGGTCTCGCCCCATCTCTGCCAGAGGCCGTCGCCGCTCTTGCCAGCCCCGATGTGGTCTGTCCATCGCCTTCCATCTCTGCCAGCTCCCCAGAGGCCACCCTGGCTCCTGCAGGCCCAGAGCAGCCCCCTGTTCCTTGCAGCCCTCCCCCAGGGCACAGAGTGGCACTGGGGGCCCCAGTTGAGATCCCTGTATCCCCCGCTGCCTCAGCAGCCCCCTGGTCACTGGGGATGGGATGGGAACATGGAGCCATGGGGCCCATCACTGAGGAGACTGATGTCATGGAGGGCGTCACCATTGCTACACCAGCTGCTGGTTCTGTGCCATCTGAACTGGGGGCCGAGCTCCCCCTGCCATTGGCTCTGGCATCTTCGGTAGCCCTCTCCCCTGCAGGTTCCCCCTGGGGTCCCACCCCAGCGCTGAGCCTGGACGATGTGGCTGCCACGGATGCCGTCCTCTACGGCTTTAACTCTGCCCCCAGCTCTGCAAGCTGTCCCAGCCCAGAGCCGTCCTGTTCCCCAACTTTGCCAGGACCCATGTCTGGCGGCCATCCTCTGATGGCTGTGGTCTCCCCTGAGCCAGCCTGGTCCCCCATCCAAGACGTCCCTGGCACCGCGGATTCTGCCAGGGAAAGACCACCCTTCAGGCCCCTGCCTCTGGGTGAGCCCAGCTTGGCATCCCCCTACAAACATCGGGAGGACAGGGGGGCACCATGGGCGGCCATCAAGCCAGAGTCCCATCTGCCCCATATCTCCCCGCTCCGCCCCCCATCTATGGGGAGTAAGAGGAAGCCACTCAAGCGCAAACCTGACCTCTGTGTCCTTCTGTGAGGTGGATGTTGTAAGTTGACAGCATTTGTGTGGAAATGGGGGGGGGGGCACTAAATTGACATGGGGGGGGGGGGACAACACAATGGGCTTGGTCATCTGGGTAGGAGGGGGATTGTAGGACAAGCGCCCGCATGAGTTAGAAACGCTTCTCTCCTACTAGGAGAGAGGGAGCCGGGTTCTGCCCTGGCTCCTGCATCACCAGCTGAGAGCGGATCTGGAGTGGGCGGGGAAGGGGAGAAGGGGGCAGGGGTTGATGTGGGGTTGGGTGGAGTCTTCATGATGGGCAGCAGGCTGGTTTAAATGTAGGTGGATGGCCCCCTATTCTCGCAATGCCCCAGCCTGGGGCTGGATTGGCCCCAGTGCCCCCTAGAGGTGGAAGGCAGCTGTGTCCCAGTGAGGCAGCCCATTCCTCCCCCAGTAGCACAGGTCTGAGTGGGAGGTGGAATCACCCTTAAAGCTGGGGTCTGTCTGGGATTCAGCCATCTGGGGTGGATCCAGAACCCACCCTCTTCTAGTAGGGGCTGGGGCAGGTCTAGAACCCAACCTAGTGTGGTGGAACCTTCACCAGTCGGGGGAAATCTGTTGAATCTAGAACTCACTTGGTTTGGGAAAGGGGGTCTAGAACATGCTCCACTTGGTGGGGGAGGGGAGGGAAATCTAGAACCAGCTAGATTCTGGTGCGGGGCATCTGGAACGCACTCTGTTTTGTCAGGACATGGTGGGATCTAGAACCTGTTCCAGTTTGCTGAATCTATAACCCCCTCGATTATGTGGGGTCCTAAGGAATGTAGCACTGATTCTGGTGGAGAATCTGGAACATGCTCCATTTTGTTGTGGGTTGAGGACTCTAGAACCCCCTCCATTCTCTGGGGATCTAGCCCCCAATCTGTTTTGGTGGGAGGATCCACATACCCAGTGTTATGGGGGGCTGGCAGGAGAGGGTCTGTGGCTGCTCCAGAGCCATATCATGGCCCTGAGCAAAGGAAACAATTATTTAAATATTTATTTTCCCACCTCTCCGGGGGAATCTTCTCATATTTTATTTGATGAATCTCCAGTTGTTCTCCTAATAAAATTTGCTTCCTGAATGATCCACTCCTTTCTGCGGCATTTTTCTCATCACAGAGGGGGAAATCCATGATAGGGTGGGGAAATCCCTCTTAAAGGTGCTAGAGCAGAGTGGCTCTTGGCTTGCAGAACCTAGAACCCAGCAAGGCTAAGTCATCCCTGCAGGCTCCTTCACATAACCCATGGGGACTGCATGTGCTGCAGGGAGATGACCAGGCTGGCTCCGTGCTGAGTTCCCTCGAGCAACTTCCCCAACCAAGGGAGACGCCGGCTGGTGCAGAGACAGTTGAGCGCGAAATGGTGGCAGAAGTGGGATCGTGCTCCATCAAGCTCACTCGCAGCACTGCTCTAAGGTGACGTCTACAGAGCTAGCGGCTGCAAGTCTCACAGCCTGGGTTTGTTTTTGTTTGCTGGTGCATCAATTTTTTTTCTCATCACGGAGTGGGGCAGGGAAAGTGTGACATGATGGAAAACCCCTGCTCTTAAAAATTCTAGAGCAGCAGCCCCGCGGTTAGGGGATTGAGACAAGTGGTTTGCAACCTCTGATCCGCAGACCCCTGGTGGGTCCTAGACTGTGCCTAAGATTTCCCAAGGGGTCTGCTTCTCCATTTTACCTTTTTTTAGGGAGCGGCAAATAAAAAAAGGTCAAAACCCCCTGCCCTGGAAAGTGACTTGGCCTAAACTAAAATTTTCTGCTTAGTTCCCTGGTAGATCAGAAAAATAACTCTCCCCTGGTCATTGTCCCAGATCTAATCAGAAATTGGAGTGAAGTTCAGAAGGGGAAGGTTTCGTATTAATCTGTTTGAAAGGGGGAGGGTCCAGTCCACGGGCCGTTCAGAATTTTTGGACGTACCGATGACTCTGTCCAGTCGCTCTTTAATTAACACCCAGGGGCCTGGACAGTCTGTGTATACGGCCTGAATGCTGTTCTCCATCTTTAATGCAAGGGGGAAAACCCACGCACAGTGGCACTGCGGGATCCTCTGAGGCAGCATCGTAGCTGGGCTGGGTGTAGCTGTGGAAGCAGGAGGGCGGTGAAATCTGCCCGTTAGGAAGGCGTAACCGTCTGTCCCAGCTTTCAGCGCCTGCCGGACTCCCGATGGGCTCTGGCTCCTTTGGAAGGGGCCGGCTGAAGGTGAACTGAGCGGGAAGGTGGGGAGTGAAATGGAGGGAAAATTTAAAATCTGCCAACTGGGGAGAGACTCCAGCTGCCCGGCTTCACAAAGAGAAGGCGACCGGGTGACTTGAGCCAGGGCTGTAAGTGCCTACACAGGGCCTGGCTGTTTCACAAGAGAGGCCTCTTTGATTTGGCAGACAAAGGCCCAACAAGGTGGGGGCTGAAGCCAGATAAATCCTCCATGACGTGCTCAGATTCTTGTTTTGAACCCAGTTATCCTATTGGCCTTCACAGCATCCTCTGGCAGTGAGTTCCACAGGTTAACTAGGAGCAGGGGGGGTGCTCTAAAAGAGGGAGGGGCCTCAGGTGCCAGAGCTGTGGCCCCACCACCACACCACACCACCCCTTCTCCCCAAGGCCCTGCCCCTTTTCCTGAGGCCCTGCCCTTGTGCCACCTCTTCCCCCCAAGACTCCACCCTCCCCATTCGCTCCTCTCTGCCCCCTCCCCCTGTCACTGACCCTTAAAAAATGGGAGGACTATGGCCCCCGGGCCCCCCTGTTCCAGCACCCCGAGACTGTGAGTTGGATGAAGAATCCCTTCCCTGATCATTTCATGGGCTGGCCTCTGGGTGGTGTGTGATGTGAAGGGGTAAATAACATTCCCCTGGTCCCTTTCTCCACCCCCGTCACGATCATTTTTAGCAGGGAGGGGAATGAACTGGTGGATCACTTTAGCAGGAGCTGGGGTGGATTCTCTGTGGCTGGCCATTTTTAAATCAAGATGGGCTGGTTTGGCGAAAAGATTGGCTCTGCTTCCACCAGGAATGACTTCAGGGGGACTGTGAGGCTGGGCAGGGCAACTCGCCAACTCGCCTGCTGGAAATCTGGGCTGTGCTGGGTCAGCTCCAGGGAGCCACCAGGAATTTAGGATTTTCTCCTTTTCATTTGAAACAGGACAATGCCCCCCCACACACACACACCGCCAAAAAATAAAATGGCATTTCTGACTTTGGACCAGCTTGTTCCTAGTGTGCAGTAGTTCCACAGGCAGTAGTATGGCCTAGTGGTTAGAGCAGTGTGTGTGTGTGTGTGTGTGTGTGTGTGTGTTCGTTCCTGACTTTGTCCTGCTGGGGGACCCTGGGCAAGTTGCTTCCCCATGCCCTCTCCCGTGCCTCAGTTTCCCCATCTGGAAAAATGCGGCCTGGGGGATCTGCTATGGAAAAGTGCAGGATCAGAGCTGGGGGGTATAGTGACCATCTCTGTCCCATTCGGCATCTCATGAATAGTCCTCCCCACCCCCAGACTTGGTTCACACCGCGTCAAGAGTGCCTTTCAGATATGGCTCCCTAAACTGCAGCCTCTGGGGCCTGGGACACAGAGAGTTAAAGTCCAGGCCACCCCCTCCACTTGATCTGCTCCCTTCTAGCAGTGCCCCAAATAGGCCCATGACCCACATTGCCTCAGCTGGGGGCACAGCTCTGCCCCTGTTCCCCAGCATATTTGGCTTGTTCTGTGACACTCCCCCCCATCCTGCCCCACCCACTCAGCCCACTGCCTCCCCCTTTCCAAGTTGTGAAGGCCAGTCTCTGAGCCCAGATTATATGATTGGCCTGGATCCCCCTGGGGCAAGGCGTCCTTTACAGCCTTAACTCTGCCTGCAGTTCCCAGCCTGCAGTCATCCTTTACCCTGGCACTGCCAGGACTGTGGCCTGCTGCGGCAACCCCCAGCCCCCTATGCCTGTCATCTCCCTGCATAGTTGCTATTCTGGAAGCACAGGGCCCCCAATGCCCCTGACACCCCCATATGCCCTCTCAGTCCCCCCCACCAGCCCCTCAAAGGATCCCTGCCAAGGAGACTAACACTGTTCTCTTTGGCCCCCCCACACCCTCTTTCAGGGGAGCTGTTCACATACTCCCTGACCTCCAAATACCTGATACCCCCGTCTAAAGTGTCCCCACTGAGGGATTCCTCCCCCACACAGGAGGCCTGTAAACCTCCCCCTCAGTGACCCCCCCAAAATGCCCCCTCACATCTTAACTGACCCCCAGTGTCTCCCTCCCCACCAGCAATGCACCCCTCCCTCATCCAAGGCCTAGAAAATGGGGAGGGCCTGGAACCCCGAGAAGGCACAAGGGATTGGCTCTGAGCATCAGCCAATGGCAAGGCCTGCTCTACAGGTCCCGCCTTGAGTGACCAGAGGGTGTCTCCTGATTGGCTGCCTTGGATCCCGCCCCATAAGGGATTAAGGTATAAAGGGGACCCCTAGGAGATGGGTAGTTGCTTTCTGGTTTTGGTATCTGTCCTGGTAGCTCATTTGTCTGGATCTCTCTGAAGGGAGCCAGGTCTCCTGGGTTCTTTCCTGGCTTGGAGGGTGGGGTCTAGTCTAGTGGGTTAGAGCAGGGGTGGGGTTGGAAGCCAGGACTCCTGGGTCCTTTCTTGGCTCTGGGATGGGAGTGGGGTCTAGTGGGGAGGAGCTGGGAGCCAGGACTCCTGGGTTCTTTCCTGGCTATGGGAGGAGAATGTGGTCTAGTGGGTTAGAGCAGGGATGGGGTTAGAAGCCAGGACTCCTGGGTCCTTTCCTGGCTCTGGGATGAGAGTGGGGTCTAGTGGGTTGGAGCAGGGGAGGAGCTAGGAGCCAGGACTCCTGGGTTCTGTCTCTGGCTCACAAGCTCTTCTCTCACAGGTGGGCTGTGCCCGGGGCTGGCTGAGGTCCCGGCTGGGCACAATGGAGCCCTGGCTCGAGGTGGTGGTGGTGGCTGCTGGTTCCCCGGAGCTGGGCTCCGACAGGGACACGTTGGCTGGGGAGGGGAGCTCCCCTGCTAGGAAGAGACCTCGCCGCTCCCCACCCCG